ACAAGCAGGATGTATTAGTGGTGCTTTCTGAATATGCCTAGGATATTTTAACAACAGCAGCGTAGTAATTCGTCCTCTTACAGTGTAGATCGCTTCAAGATAGATTCACGTGGTTCCATATAAATTTCATATTTTGATACCTTTGCAAGTAAGCAGCTCGAATTTCTCCTGATCAAATCCCACTTCCACATATTTCACTTTCTGACTCGTTTTTATGCACATGATTATTTCAGTAGTCACTTTTATACTATTTCAGAATTAATCCCCTATAATGTAAATTTAGGGGAAAAATATCGCTTACTGGTTCACTGTTCAGTTGTGACACAAGTCAAAGGTCAGGATATCGATGTCCTCATTGGTAGATCCTGGGGTGCGTACTGACCACCGTCCTTGCTAGTAGAATATAATTTTCTCATAATAGTGGCTTTATAATGACACCTACCTCTGCTCAAATCAAGTGTGACATGCACTTGCCTTAGTGTTAAAATTTGAGTCGAAATTCCAGTCATTTGATTGTTGTATCATTCTTGTGTCATTTTAACCTCCTTCTCATTGGGGTTATTTTGGTGCAAAAAGTTGCGGCTAGGCTTTCACAAGATCAAATTTTACTTCCGCTAAAAAGAAAAATGATATTTCGCATTCCGCTTTGTTTCGAGGAGCTCGATTATTTTAGTACCAATTTTAAAGTGAACTTTCACTTGGTTGGTTCCTTGCTCTCTCTCTCTCGCTCTCTCTACGTGTTGGTAATTGTTTAGTATTTTGAATATAAATGCAAAAGGAGCATTCATTCATTCATTTATTTATTTATTCATTCATTTACGTTGATGGCATTTTGAATTTTCCCCATGCAATTGGCCTTCTTCCCTCCACATTGCCATTGCATAAAATGTTTCAATTGTTTCCCTACTACAATTAAGAAAGTGGGTACTTCTCCTGAAGTTTTCGGTATATGTTGTTAGAGTAGCAGTTTACCAAGTAATACTAATGATTTGTTCGAGTTCACATTAGCTTTTAGTAATTTTATAAAGCTGTAGACGCTATTTTACTAACACTAACGATGAAATAATCTTAATATTCGAAAATTAATAATTAATCTTAATTATGCACTTAAAACAAGAAGAAAATTTGTTTGGGAATAATCGAGTCTTCAAAAAATTTTTTGCTTTTCTTCTCGACACTTTCGAGACAATTCAATTTTCTATATTAATTTTATCCACTACAAAAATGCCCACTTAAAGTTATGGAGTAAAAAAATCACTGCTAAACAAACTTGCGTAAAAATAGGTCAGTGAGTAAACAAGTGATGGGATCAATTAGAATTATAGAGTAAAGTTGGGTCGGCCAGAGTCGTCTGACCCCTTGAACTCATCAAATCGGCCACTTGTGCTCACTGGTTTTATAGACTACTCTGGCGTGTTTTAGTATTTCAAATTTTGCTCCTTCATCACGATATTTCCATGTGAGCTCGTGTTCTCCAAAGCTCTCAGACCTTTTTAACACGTTGATTGACATGTATTTTAATTTCTCATGACATCTCAATTCATATTTCTCTTCTAGTCGATACATTAAAAACGTGAGAGTAAATTATTATTAAATCTCACGCAGAAACTAATCTTTGAGACCTGCCTTGATCATTTTTCTAACTTATAATTTATTTTTTTTACAAATTCTTCAATGAAGTTATTAGTAGGACTTCAATTTCGAAGTTAAATGTTAAAATTACTTTTGACTATATGGATAAGCTAAAAGAAGTCACATGTGCATATGTGGGCCTGATATCTTGTAAACTTTATCACATATCTTTTGCTTCTTATATCGGCTTGCTCTTTTTCTTCTCATTTTACCAATCTACTTACTCCTGATATCTCGTGTTCTACTTGTGTTTGTTCTTTTTCATCTCACCCCACCCCACCCCACCCTCCTCAAATTTATATTTTTTATTAAGGCTGATGTGCGGGCCTCCTCGTTTCGTTTTCTTCCGGTTATTTCGCACATTTTTTACTAGCAGTAAAAGCATATACAATGTCGGTCTAATTCATATGAGAATATAGTGATAGAGGGAGAGAGGGAGGGAGAGAGAGAGGAGGGGGGGGTGGTCGTGCATGTCGGTTAGCGTACATATCTCTACGTTTGAGCAAGTCACAGACGACTTTGACTTTGGGGCTACTCAAATTTTCAACTCTTTTACAAATTTGAGTAAAATAAAGGGTAATTGGAGAAGGAGGATTGGAATTAACATTTTAAATAAAATCCTTGAGTTATCTTGGCTAACCTTTATTTGATAAGCCATCCGTGATGAATTTCTTTAAAGAACGAGTTCCTGTGTGAGGCATGGAGAAGGTAAGTAGAAGTGAGCGAGAGGGCATTTTTTTTTCTAATTATAAGTCGCCATTACATGTGGGCATCTGAAAGCACAGAATTCAATTAACTTAAGACGCACTGGTAAGGGTTGATTCATTTCTTACGATGAGTTAGCTTTACAAGAATCCTCACTACAAAACTCTCCAGGAAGTCAAATGTTCAAGAGAATGTAAAGTTGCCAGTAAACTTCGAAATTCGTAAACCAGCTGTTCAGGTGAGGAGATAAAGGAAGCTTCGTCAATACCGAGATTTGCCATTTAAAACTTTGATTCTTTAAGACAATTTCGAGCAGTTTTGGAAATGTGGGCCATTGCCTAATGCACGCCCAAAGTTATTAGTAATTTAATTAGTTAATTATTTAGAATATAACCATTTTTCATTCAATTGAATAGCCATGACTCAATCCTCCCCTTTTTTTGAAATTTGTTGCATTTTGCATATTTAATAGTATTTCGTTAAAGTGCATAATTTAATTTACTTCAAAATTTTTTGCTAAATCATCTGTTTGTGGAAACTGTACTAGAAATTATGGTGTTAAGGCTATTTTTTGCTTTAATTTCATTTAGTTTTAGGACATTTTTAAACCTCGTGTTGAGAATTTAATTTAAGTAAACGTTCAAATGTTTTTCTATTTAGTAAATACAGAATGCATGCCTTACTAACTTTAGACATTAAAGAGATAGCAGATCTTCTAAATTTAAATGAAGATCTGCTGAAATTCCACAACATTTAGTACGTAGCACCGAGTACAGTTAATTCGAGTTGAGTTAGACCACTGGCTCAGGAAGTAAGTTAACGAATTTATTCTAGTCATTTTGATTTAGTTTTTACCTTACTGCACTCTAGTCCCTTGAATGAATGGGTCAGTGCGTGTTTGTTGGTTTTAAAGTTATTTTCAGCCCCCATTTTCACCCCGTCCTCTAATGGACTTTGGCCAAAAGTGTTTTCTGTAAAGTGTGTAGCTTCTGATAACTCAACATTTCTTCCTTTATTGAATATAAATCTTAGAAGGTAGACTGAGAGGTTGCCTACTCATCTAAATCGATTTAAATTGAATTATGACAGATCTTATGGTCTTTCGTGTGTGTGCATAATTTTCTTGATGCTACTATTTCCAAAAAGTGTAATCCGGATGACCATGGATGCTGCAGGATTGTCTCATTTCGCCCACACTCTCACCTTTGTTTGTCCTATAGAGAGCAGACTAACTAGTCAGCTGCTGCTGCTGCTCTAGATAATGATCTTGCTTTCTAAATACCTCGAACAAGTAGAACAAAATGTGTGTGTGTGTGTGTGTGTGCATAAGGTTAGATTCTTTCGTTGAATGATTATTTCTTTCCCAAGATTGCGATATTTCTTACTGGAAAAATCGTGCAGATATATTGAAGATTGACTGTGTGGTCATTGGAATCAGGAGAACTTTTCTCCCATTGAGCTCCCAGATTGCTCCATTCATCATCTCTCTTATGCATATTTCCTTCGTTGATCTGAATTTCATCAATTTAAATAACTCCGGACTTCATATGGTCTCTCTGTGTATGTTCTAGCGTCTTTGCTTGATTTGATTTCCACATAAAACGAATAAGTTATATCTATTTGGGCATGAGTTATAAAGGTTATGTGATCAATATCACTTTTTTATTTCCATCTTTTCCCATTCTCTCCATTACTGCCCCTTTGAGCTGTGCTTGGACATAAAATCTTATCTACAATGTGTTATAGCGGGAGGGTGAAGGGGGGGGTAGTAGGGGAGAGAGAGAGTAATGGTCTATGACCAAGTAATAAAATATATTGACAGATCTCTAAATGTTTAAAAGAGGTGAAGAAACTGAATTTCGTTGGCAGCGTTAATGAAGACCTTGGTAACTATATCTATTTCACAACCATTCGCACTTTAACTAGCCTTTGGGAGAAAATCCTCCCTCTTTTGCACATTAATTCGATCACTTTTTTTATGTAACTTAATCTTGCCCCTCAAATTAACTCAAATATCTTAAAAGTGCCCTTTAAGGTATATTGTTTTCAAACGCTTCTTTGGGGGGTAAGAAATGATATTCTAGAGCTCCTCTAATGAGAAACTCGCATTCCGCCATCCACTTATTGACCAATTTTGCTTGCTCCGGGCTCCCCTTATGCACTGGTGACACCTGATTTGACAGGCATGTAAGCTGAAGGCGGCTCTATACCACTAATCCAAGTTTATTTTAAATGCTCATTTAATTAGATAATTACGAATATTAGACTCCACATTTGAGGCAACTGCTAGTTTTTATCTCTCTGTTGTACCTTTTACTGAAAGCAAAGGTGTATGATATGCACTTGAGACAATTGATATTTCTCTTGTCTTTAAATTTCCATTGATAGGGAATCATGCATTTATTTCTACAATCCATCTTTGAGAAATTTTAATATACATGTTGAAGCTACCTAACAGTGAACATGAGCCGCGCCACCTTGGCAATCCCCAGACCCTATTTAAAGGTGGCTGAAGGTGGCGTCTTTATAAGTAGGTCGGTTTTGGGGGGGGGGTGGTCGGATAAAAGGTTTGGGACTATTGCGTTGAATGTTGCATTGGGCTCTAATTATGCCAACAGTATCATATCTTTCGACAATTTTATCGTATTTGCTTTTTCCTATAGTTGGAAAAACTCGATCTGGAGTACTGTTCACAAGTGACTGATTCTACCCTTATCCAACTTGCCACCTACTGCCCCAGGTTAAACACCCTGGTATTGTCTCACTGCGATCAAATCACCGATGAGGGAATTTCCCGACTGGTGGAAGGTCTTTGTGGTCCCCAACAACTCCAGCGATTGGCCATGGATAACTGCCCCCTTCTGACGGATTCCTCACTTACGATGCTCGGATCGGTATGCCAGAATCTCTGCCAAGTGGATCTCTACGACTGCCAACTCATAACGCGACAAGGAATTGAGAATCTGAAGGTAAGATGCTGATGTCCGATAGTCTTGGATCCTTACTTTTCATTTCTTAACTTCAATTAAGAATAACCGTGAGTGATATTCCCTAAACAATATTATGCTAAGAAGAATCTAATTTAACTTATAGAAACAATTAATTTTGTTCCTTTTCATTGGGCTGGTCAATATTAATCATTCTTGCGTTCATTCCTGCCTCGGTGCTTAAGTAAGATGAAATGAATAAATGGGAGGGTGGGGGGGGGGGGGTTGTATTGAAAATAGGAAATAAATGCGGGTCGAAAATGTGGATGGTTATATTAATTTTGATGGATAGATAAAGTTTTGGTAATTAGGAAAACTTTGAGCCTGCTGATACAAGGTAGCACTTAAATTGATTTCATTCCAATTACTTCTTACCAGGTTATTAAAATGGTGGTTTCTAATCGTTGGTTTGAGTGGTAGATCAGTGCTTTAAAAATCCGTTTTGATACAGTTAAATGCTCGATGTTTAGGTTGTTAAAGAGGGTTATCTTTGACTAAGATTTTTATTTATACAGGAACATTATTTTAAAATAACCAACTCCCAGCTATTTAATTGATTGATCAATTAACGAACATCTGGATTGTAATTTTACCTTTCATTTTGTTAATTTGCCAGGGAGGTGAGAAAGCAATGGAACAAGAATAGATTAAACGGAAGATCGTCGCTCCATATGTTCACCAGTGGTGTAGGGGAGATGCGTTCTTGTGTTTGATGCCAGAGCTCACGGATTTGATGCCTATCGTTGCGTCCAGAGCGAGGGGAGTGATCAATCACACACCCACACACACACACACACGGATTAATCTAGTCAGCGGGAATAGCAGAATAAGCGCTTTCCATCACCCTAGCTTTCTCCTCAAAATAGTTGTGGAGGAGGAAACGCTTTTCTGAATTTGGTTGTGGAGTTACTACTCCATAGGAGTTTCAAGCTCATTCCTCTAGTTGCTTCTACCCCGCAAATATAGTTATTATTAGCGAAAGAAAGCGTATTTTTTGGGCTAAAAACAGAGCTTTAGTTGTATGGAGTCCGAGCAAATATTGTTTGGCCACTTTGTAGTTGATCTGTGTATTTGGTAGAATATTAACCAATTGCTTCAAATTTTCAAAATTCCGACTTAAATGAATGACTTGGGTAATAATTTTCCAAATCATCCACGCCTAATTTAGTTGCTTGCTAATTTTACACGGCTATGCACTTTTAGAAGTATTGGCAAAACGTACAAACATACTATTGGTGTTTGTTTCAAGGTAATTACGGCATTGTTTATTATAGCAACAAAATCCACGGTTGAAAATTCAAGCTTTCTTCGCACCAGGAACTCCACCTGAATCTACTCTAGGTCATCGAAGACGCTACTGTCGATGCTGTACCATTCTATAATCCCTTACAACCCTCGTCTCCCCATCTCACCCCTTGGCTGTGTGTGTTTGTGTGTGTGTGTGTGTGTATGTGTGTGTGTGTGTGTGTGTGCGTGCGTGTGTGTGATGGAGTCTCTGCGTGTCTGTTCGATGCGTCCCTCATGTATCTAATCACCGGTGTCGTTCCTCCATTATTATTCTCCCGATATCCTAACTCAGCGCGTATGATTCTCTCATCGTCTTCTTGCATTTTATCGTCATCTCCGGTTCTCATTTGCATTGGAATTTTTTTACATTCTCTCTTAATGACCACTATATTCCCATTGTGCTTTGAAACGTGTTTGTGGCTAACTTCCCTCCCGTCCTTTTTTTCTTCCCCGCTTCCAATGATCTCACTCAAACTGATGAATTTAGGAGAACTTCTTGTGATACTATCATTTTATCTAACCCATATGTCATCCATCTGCTGAGTATGCCTTCCTAACTCGTATGTATGAACAGAGTAAACTTAATTACACAATTATCCTCTTTCATCGTAAGACTTCTAATAATATTACGTGCAATGAATATGTTTTTACCCGTTGGTGGTGGTAGTCATGCCACAAACCCTGCGATGTCAAAGTTTGTGGCTTCGTTCTCCTCACTGGTGAGGATAACCAATCAGCGGGTTGGCGAATCACACTGGTGCCTGATACTCCTTCTCTGAAGAAAGTCCTCCCTGAATATGCTTGGCAATTAGTTCTAGTATCATAGATTCGAGTTGAATAGTAAGTGGGGCGGGGCTGGGGAGATAGGGGTGAAAATCAAAATTTTATGGTCCTCATCAAATAAATTAAGATAACTTGAGCCGGAGTAACTGTTGGCCAATATTTTTCCATATGGCATTAGTGGCTGCTAGTTGTAATTTACATTGATACAAATCACGTAAGCAAGTTCTGCTTGGAAATGGGAGAGGTGAATTGAAGGCATAAACAACTTCTAGTGACCTAAGGCGATTCTAGGGTGATATGGTGTTGGAAGCACTCGACTGTGGGAGTCAGGTCAGCTGGCATATGTATGGAAATGGCTTATCTAATCATTAAGACGGAAAGTAAATATTGAGGATTATAAAGGGTAATTGCCGAAGCTCTTGAAACCATTCTAATTGACCGGCCTTAAGCACAATTAGCTGCTCTCACACCCTAATCATTATGACTCAGGATTGAGTTGAGTTCTATGATACTTTATTTCGCATTTTAAGGTGAAATTTTATCTAGCGTTTTTGCAACTTAAAGCTATCCAATTTTAATTGCGTTTTGGCAGCTCCGCATAAATTAGAGATCTAATCAGTTCTCAAAAGTCCCAGATTGGATTTAAGCTTTGCGTAGGCAACAATTTTTGGAAAATTAAAAAATTGACAACTTTTAGTGCAGAAAAGACACGTCAGTGGTTGTCAAAATTGTATCGACTAAGATCTCCATTAAACTAGCAAAAGATATATTTTCAATACTAGATGGACAACAATAACTTTTAATGGCATTGAGCTTAATTGGGCCCGAGTTTTGTAATTATCCTTGAAGCAAAAAATATAATTTTACCAATCCAAAGTTTGTTGAAGCGGATAACTATGAAGCCCAAAAATTTCCTATCATAAGACATCTTTATGCACGTTGTACAAGAAAAAAAATCAATTTTTCACATTCGGAAGCTGAATCACCTCCACGTGGTGCACCCTGGGCAACGTATACTCATACGGCAAAAAATCTATTAACTGGCAGTTGACTTCTGACTTCTAACTACCATCATCCCACTGTATGTCATATTTTACCACTTCCACAGTAATCATCCTGCCTTTTCTCTGCCTTTGTGTCAGTCTCTTACAACTGTAAACCACTCTTCTGTTCCCCATCCCTCGAATTTCTGTTACTTTGATGTTCCTTCCCCCTGTGAAGCCCGAAGTCAGCTAAAGGGCTAATGATAACTATCAAAACGCCTGCCATTTGAAATAAGTAAATTTCCAACGACTAAAAGAAGTGTCCCTTTTTATCACTGTTTAGGTTGCACATCACCAGCTAATTTCCTGCCAAAGTAAAGAAGTTTTTCGAATCTAATCATTTTTTTTTGTTGTGAAGACCTTCGCGCAAACTGCAGATAAGGGATCGAGGAAGCATACCTTATCGATTGAGTTTGGCTTAACTGGTTTACCCGATTTAAATGCTTAAATATTGGCAATTAATATAATTAACTTACCCTTAGGCAGTATGCTAACACATATTTCTATATCGATCTATTTTAGCCTCTGAGTTAACTAACTTTCAGGCTCAAAGTTTAAAAGGAAATTGTTACCTAATCGACTAAGCTCAAAGTCACAAATTTTGATCCATCTGTTTTCGCTCGAGAATTAGTCATTCTTGAGGCAATGCGAGGCTTTTAAGGGAGGAATATCACCAAATAGGCACTTTCAACGAAATCTATAGAAATAACTATGAGATGATCTTATGAGATTTTATTGACGCCTGAGTTAAATGTATCCATTCACTGATTGTACCGTTATTAGGTGGGTGTTTTGTACACAAAAGGGAGCCAAAACAATCTCACAATTTTAAACACTGGATTCGACAAAATACTCTGATTTTAGTTCTCATACAAACAGACCCTCAGTAGCCAAACACGTTAGAAGATAAGGCAGTTTTTGTTTCAAAACTCAGCACCAGTATTTGACGTATCTGACAGTGTTACGTAAGCGGAGAGAAAAAAACTGAACGTATAGTTTACATAACAGGGCGTTGAAATGTCAACCGCAATATGTTGGTCAAACTCTAATGAGAAAACGAACACATTACGAAAAAATATATATATTTACTTAAAAAGCACAAACGCAATCATGGGAAAAATCATGTCAATAAATCATAAGGCATCAATCAATGAAAATAGGGAGTAATTAATATTTACACAAATCGAGACAAATGTATATATCTCCTTGATTACAAAGTGGAGAAATCAATAATTTAAGGAATTGAATCCATTGATCGAACTGCTAGAGGTATATCAGATGGCGATGAAGGTGACTCAATCCAATCCACTTTTGGACGAATTTCCTTATTGGTAATGGGATCTACTGAATTACTCTGTGATGTTCTGGACTTCAGTTTCCTTTGTGGATTCTTGTCGTTGAATGTTTTTGGAAATGGTGAAAGCCATTGGGTAACCTTTTCCCACCAAAAGAACCGTCTAACTAGCTGTAGGATAAGATCAGCTAGGAGAAAGAGGAACAATAGGATAGAGAGAATCATGGTTGTACGTCCTAGAGTTTGAGATGCATTTTTGTGAAATACTCTTTCGGTAAGATAGCCAGCCGAAGCGGGTACAATTGATTGCCCAAGTAGCATAGCTAGATAAAGAATGTAACCCCGTGGCTGGTGGATATGAAGACCACTCCCTGCTATAGCTCCTAATCCGAGACCCAACCCCGCTGTGGAAATCCAAGTAGCCTTGTCTCTAGCAATACTCCAAGATTCGTAGATAACTCGGCTATTATTGTCGGCTGGTGCAAGATAGACAAGATGAGATGTTGTCATTTCCTTTAATATGGTTGTACAGATCAAGCAAACGAGCGACCCAACTGTCCGAATGAAAAGAGCGGCAATATGGAATGCTCTCTCACGCCGGCGACTGAAATAAAGGAAATAAATTATCTGAAGAAAAGAAAAGCCACCAAAGTGTTATCTAAGAAATTCAAAAAGGCGAGACTAAACTATATAATACATTGAATAATCGCAATGACTACCACCGCTTTCTCTTCAGTTTACACTTTTTTTAAATTACAGCTAACGCTTGACCTGATCATTTCGTGATAGTAACGCTATCATAACACTTTAAAATAAGACCTTTATAGTAACAAAGTAATTTTGCCAAACGAAATCAATGCAAATCTAGTTAAAATCTTTAAATAGCCATTCATATCAATTGCAATTCATGTGTTGGTCACTAGAGATCTAGCAATTTGAAAGTGAAACTAAGAGGGAAAGCTCAATGCACACTTTATAATAAATTGAGTAATATATATTTCAATTCAAACGCTTTAACTTCGATAAGTTAAGTGTAAAATATGTAATGACCCTTCAGGTGGGCGAAAACCAATGTTAATGAATGAAAGATTTTCAGATATATTTCAAGTAAGTAGTATGAAAGAAACTTCAACTATTTTTTCAAACTTGGATTATCAAAACTAGTTTATTTACACTTGCGAAAATGGAAACGTTTTAAGTGATTTTACCTTTTTATTCTCAAAAAGTTTATAAAGATAATACTAATAAAAATTTCAAGTTCTTAGACAAGAGGTATTTACTGAAACGCAACTTAAATAGAGGAGCATTATTTTAGAGTCTTTGATTGAAAACGTGAATTTTTTAACCAAATTTCGAGCAGTTTTAGCTGAAATGTTTGGGTATGTCGTTCGCATGGTGCTTATTACCATATCCGTGACTACTGGCTTGGCATAATTGTAGGTTGGCATATAATAATAACCCTCCAATTTATTTGGGAAGGTGTTTGCTAAAACTCTGCTTCGGGAGAAGCATAGTGCCATAGAGACAACATGATAAGAAACTGAAATTCAGCCAATGTGGTTTGCCATTCCGCTCAATTTACTTATGAAGTTGGTCTCCAACTTCACAGGCGAGAGAGTTAACTGCTGCATCGATGACAAACGCACACACACACACGCGCGCGTATAATCTTACATCTTTATTATTTATTTCAAAGTGCAGGCGTTTAGATAGTTACCATTAGCCATTGAGCTGACCTCGGGCTTCACAGAGAGGAGGAGGAACATCAAGGTGACAAAAAGTTGAGAGGTGGGGGGCAGAGTAATGATTCACAGATGCAAAAAGAGACAGACAAACACAAAGGCAGAGAAAAGGTAAGATTAGTACCGTGGAAGTGGTCGAATATGACCTAAAGTGGGGTGATGGTAGTTTGAAGTGAGAAGTCAACTGCTGGTTAATAGACTTTTTTGCCGTATGAGTATACGTTTCCCAGGGTGCACCACGTGGAGGTAATTCTATCGCACACCTCTATTCTTACATATAAAGTTGCATAAGAACGCTATGAATCAGAACTTTGTAAATGAACTCGCCTGGTTGGGAAGAAAGCCATTGCTGTAGGCGAAGTTGAATCCTTTAAAGCCAGCTCGACGGAATTTTGAAGGAGGTTAATTCCCATATCGGCAGTCTTGCCCAAGCACAGATAACACAGCCGTCCAATTGCATCACCGATCCAGAACAACATTGTCACAAGGAGAGCGTTGATCTAATAATATACACCGAAGAAGCTGTATAAAGATCAAGTTATCGAGTTGACTGACTTGGCAATTGAGATGAATCTGAGCTATGAGTTAGTTCAATCTTACTTTATTTTTGAGAAAGCAGAGAAAAAATCTTAACTAGAAAAAATATTTAAATGCATGTTAAATTCAGGAAAAAAGAAGTTGACTCCTTTTAAAAAGAATTTTAATTAGTTCTTTTCAAAAATCAATGGAGAAATTGAGCAAATGCTTAAATATGCGTGATCATCCCTCGACCAATCACGGTCTTCTAAACGCGTCCCCCTTCAACACTTTTTTGTACGGAACAAAGGTGCTCGAATTAGAAGATAGTAGATAAGCAACACAAATTCGATGGAAGAAATTTGGAAGTGAGTGCCTATTTCGGAGAATAGCGAGTAATCTTGCTCTCATAGATAGAGAAAATTTCCAAGAATGCCCTACTTCATGCATTATCACAAATTATGAAAGCATGCATAAAAAATGCGAGAAAGGAAAAGTGCAGAGTACCTGCACGAACTATAAGAATTCGATTTGGTTTGTGCTGACTTCAAATCAAGGTGACGCAGTTAGTACCAATCAGCTGTTCCTTGTTTAGTTGAGGATATAAGGGCACCACGATAGGTAGTTTCAAACTTTCAAAATTTAAATGCAACTAAATCGGGTTTTGGTCCGAATGACATTCAACCAATTATTGAACGTAAATATATCATCTGAGAATTCAAGACGCCAAAGTATATACGAATAGGGCTAGGTATCTTTCCTAAGGACCAAACCAAGTTAGGATTAGTTTTTTTTTGAATTTCCGAGACAAAAAAGATTTGTTGCTTGCTGATGGAGAACAACAACCTTTTCTAATTCACCAAAGACGAAGCCTATATTCAAATTGGAAAGTAGTTTGAAGACTTGAAAAAGCTCAGACCAATCAATTCGGAGGCAGGTTTTTTATGCACTTGGAAGAATTGCACGAGAACCTATTAGCTATGGCACTCCAACCAAAATACGCTTTTCCACTTCAAAAAGAGATGTTAATAAAATTCTTCCTTTATGTCAATTTATAGCATCATAGACCCCGTAATAACACGAGAGAGTGATGTTTAACAAACCCATTAAAAATAGCAACTAAATGTGCCACTAAAATTGAGAAAAAAAGGTGTCAAACCACCTCGCAATAAATATACGTACGAAAGCTAATGACGACTGTTCACATCATAAACCAGCACGACCAAGATGATCAAATGGGTATGGCGTTGAGATTTGATGGATGATAGAGGCATGCACAAAAAAGGGGGTGCACAAGGCATAGTAGAGCAAGAAGTATGATGCTGGCGCCAAAGTGAACGGACGCATGATACAACTGTCCTTTTCAACTTCCGCCACATTGAAATAACAGAATCACAAGTGCTGGTTGTTTGTGTGGACAAACCCAAACAAATGCAACTTTTAAGCCAGGATTGAACGTGGGGAAGTAGAAATTAACTCTATGACTTGAATTTGATGATCTGAAACATCTGGGCTACTTGCATCTTTAAAAGTGCAACCGATCGAAAAAAATGTAGTCATCTCTCAAGAAGCAGCAAAAGTTGGCGTATTAACTCGAAGTTCGCATAGTTGAATCAATAGGTACCCTAGAGGGAAAGACAGTTCTTTCGTTCGTAAATATTATGTCCCTATCATTTAGTGTTCGGGTAATTAATTGTGTGCACCGCCGATAAGTAATATTTTCTGCGTGCATTCATTCCTGAAATTGGCGATCTGTTACATTAGAAAAAACATTTGTTTAGCTGTCTAATACTAACTGCACGCTGATACTTCAACATAGCAAGGATGGAATTGGGATGTAAGTCACCATTTCAGTTTTCAAACACGAATATTACGGTACATAGCCCCTAAAAATAAACATTAAATCACTTTCTTTACTATGCATAATTCCGACTAGGGGTACACTCCCATTACAGCTGCCAATGGCATTGGAGTAGATTCCAAAATATGGTAATTTAAAAATTGTGCTTAAAATTGGATACATTTGTTAATGGACACATTTAGTGCTTAATTTCACTCAATTTAAATTAAATCTCGTGCCATTTAGCTGCATTACACACGTGACGTGATCTCCAAAGCCTGACTTCAAACACTCAGCATAGAAACAATCTCTCAATGGCATCGCGATTTTCTCTTCGCATCCCTCAACCCACTCGGTGATCTCTTCCTGCTCGAATGATCACCATACATCCGCTGCCGTTACCCACAACAAGTCAGATCCCGACTTCCGCTCAACAGAGGCTCAATCTCTCATTGGCGATGCGATTGTTCTTCACATCGCTCTACTCATCTGATGGTTACTTGCCACACGAACGATCAGCACCTCAACAGCACCCCAACGCTCTCCTTTCACTGGCTGACTCCCTCAGTACGCCCTTGGAAACAGGCAACAGCCGGAGCACGTTGCGTTTTGAATGTCCATCTCTACGAGACTCAAGAACCTCGTTCTTGTACCCAATAAAAAAATAACAGCTGGAGCACGTTACTCTTCGAAAGCCTACTCATGCAGGTCCTCATCACCCCAACGCACTGCTTCGTTTCAACCGATAAGCCGAGACCAATCGTCAGGCACACTCGTCGGAAGATTTCACCCAATGGATTGTCATAACCAAACATCCGATCAACAAGAGCGTTGATCACCGATCGTTGTCTCTGGAGAAACATCCAACAGGACGCTCGTCAGTGGACCAAATACTGCCTCATTCGTTCAGCCGGCAAGGTCCACCAGCATGCACGAAGTCCGCAATCATACTTTCTCCAATTCCAAAAAACCCGTCCCAGCAGTTCCAATACCTGTTCCACCCTACCCAAAAACCTGTTACACTTTGCTTATCGCTGCGTGACTGAATATACGTGTTCCGTGCTATACCTCTGTTTCCTCAACAGCTTAGCTAGTTCTGGGAGTCTAGCTAGATGTAGGAGAATCTGCTACAGAGATTTCTGAGTCAGTCAGGCTTTATTAAGGTGTTTAGCTGGTTCTGGGAGTCTAGCTAGATGTAGGAGGATCTCCCATTGAGATTTCTGAGTCAGTCAGGCTTTACTAGCGTAGCTACAGAGATTTCTGAGTCAGTCAGGCTTTATTAATATATCAATCCGCGATGAGATTTAACGATAGAAATTAAATGCAACCTTGACAAAGAAAAGTTTTATTTTGCCATAATTATAGCTTTGATGAATTCTCGGATATAGTTTGCAAAGCTAATTACTAAGCTATTTCATAACATGCACAATTTTGGCAGGTACCGGACATTATAGATATAAAATCGATTAAAACTAATTCTCATTTGAATCACAGAAAAAAAACTCATGATAGCAGCCTCCGTTTCCAATTCAACATCTAGAACGCTCTCAAATAAGTGATTATAAAGCAACGAGGTCTCAGTAGAGTTTTATAAAATATTTTACACCTAGACTTAGTCAGATCAAATAGGAACTACAGGTATTAGGGCACAAAGTGTTAGTAGTCATTTCAAGCGAACTTCTAAGTTTGTTGGCTAAAAATTAACGTATTTTCCTATGGTTACTTAGAATAAGAATTTGATTTCACGAATCGAGATGTGAAATATACGCCAACAATTAAGATGTATCCAGCCAATTCAGCATTAAGTTTATTCAACCAACTTACCGGTGACCAATGAAGCGTTCCCAGAGTGAAGCTATGAATAAAAGCCCCATATGTAGTTTCCAGTCCAGCAAAGATAAAAGTCGCCGCTAGCACCCAGAAATCCGCCGGACAAGTTACCAAAGGCCAGACAGTTGGCCTGGGTGCGTACTTCAAATAAACCAACTGCTCTGGTGTTTCCGATGCCTCTTTTCGCGTCTCAAGGCGAATTAAGTGCGCATTCTTGTCTTGAGTCCTGGTTTGATTATGTCGCGAGGAACGGAGAACTGCAAAATTCGGCACTGAGATACTAGCACGGAGATTGGGTTCAACAACGGTTGTCTCCTCGACATCTTCAGCACACCAGGCAACATTTTTCGTAGCCAGTTGTGTCGGCGTTGATTCTGAATCTGTGGGGCTACTCGCCTGCAGTTCCTCATTAGTATCTAAAACAAAATAGGTAAAAATCAACACCAATTGGTGAAGTCGTCTAGGGTCAAAAGGAGTTAACAAGTCTCGAAAACGATTAGTTACGTGATTAGCTCATCTAATTAGATCTCATTTCCTTCAATTTTCGCATAAAACAAAAAAACAATCCCATAAAAAATCTACTGCTTTAAAAAAAGAAATTAGGGCGTGAAAAGCGAAAGTCTTAAAAACATCGACATCAAGTTTCCTGAACTAAAAAAGACCTTAGTTGTGCTTTTAGAATAAAAGTTGAATATCTTTATCCGTGGTTACAAACAGAAATCTAACCACAAATATCAAAGTGGTAAAGTTTTATCTTCTGCGTTTTGCAAGTTTTGTTTATAAAAAAACTAACTCGAAGCTGTGCACTTTTATGCCTTAATTACATTTGTAATTAAGCCTTTAAGAAAAATGGACTTTTAATATTGGATAATCAAAGCTAGATCAAACAAATGCACATTTAAATAATGCGGAAAGAAGTGGAAATATAAACTAAATTATGGCAACAAGTGCTTTGTCATCACTACCTAGCGTCAAATATGCTAAAAATATAGGCAAAGAAGAAATTATATATGCGAAAACATATATCGGAGTCGATGTCTCTTTAAAAAGTACTGCGTTGGGAAAAGCTACGCGAGCTGATTAAAGACTAGGAAGACATCACATCATCTGAAGTTTCTGAAGAAAAGTGACTTGGATTTTACAGTCAACCTCTTAACACAAAAGATTTTCGATGATGTCAACCTTGCTCCAAGTCTACAAGATCTAAATTGTACTGGCACAGAAGTGAATCTAATCTCTTACCAGTTCGCATTAAATCATTATCAGGAATGGTCACATTAGCCTGCTGATTCACAGAATTGGACGATGCTTGAACTGAAAAGCATTCAAGGAACGGCCTCACAGAGGTAAAAATTCCCGTCAGTGGTAGTATAATGAACCAAGAAAGAACAGTGAAGAGCCCCACAGAGAGATAGACATATCTAACAGCCTTCATATACTGCAGACGAGTGGACTCATCTTGCCAGCGTCTCGGTGTCCTGGTATCCCACTTCGAGTTGTACGTTGAGGTCAACCGATAGGTATCATTTGACCTTGGTTTCACCTCCGCAGTAATTGGCGTTGAAGGCGGAGGAGCCGTCTGGGGAGTTTGTATTGCTACTGAAGCATTTGTGAGCGTAGAAGGAAGCGAGGTCGTTGTTTGGGATAGTGGTTCAGTAACGATATGGGAATCCTCACTTGCCTGCACTTCAGCCTCTTCTTTTACGGTTGACGTTGGATTAGTAATGACTATTATAGGCGGTATTTCAGAATCCTCATTATTAATTTCATCAGTTAAGTGTTTCATTATATCAGCAGGATTGCTACCATCAGCGGTGTTTTGATCCTGACTCAAATGGGTGGCGTCCACAACAGAGGGTTTTGTCGTATCGTCTGCCGCTGTTGTTAGGGTCTCGGGCTCTTCATTCACTTCTGTAGTAGTAGTCACTTGCGATTCTGCTTTTAAATGTGATTCCTTTTCTGCTATCTTTGCCGCTTTAGCCTGCTGTTCAGCAATTCGAACATCTTCATCGGCTAATTTCATTTTAACGACGGTATTACTTCCATCAGCGGAGTTGCTATCCTGATTCAAGTGTTCTGCATCCACTATATCAGGTTTTCCAAGGCCTTCCGAAGCGTTTGTTGCTACTTCAAGTGTAGAAATATTAAGGTTGTCTTCTAGTAAGGCCTCAATAGTCGTCCCATTGAGCTCTACCTCAAGAGAGGTTGTAAAATCAGTCCCATTAGAGATATATTCGGGCGATTTCGTAGTTTCTGTTTCACTGGAAATTGATTCAGTAATGATCTTAGTATCATTTTTCAAATCAGGCGGCACAGTCGTTAAATAATCGCTTGAAAATAATGTTGTGAATATCGATGAAATTGCATCCGAAGAAGGAGATTTTGAAGTGGTAATTTCTTCAGTTGCATTGATATGTTCACTTTTAGCTAAACTTACATGGGATGGAGCTGGAGTTGTAAAATAAATAGATGAAGATTGATCATAGTTAGAACTAAGCAGAATTTCAGCAATTGTAGAAGTTGAAGATATCATTGATGCATTGGTAGTTAAAGTCGGTGAAGGTTTTACAGTTATTAAGTCTGTTTCCATGCTCGTATTCAGAATAGAACGATCAACAATAAAAGGCGGGGGCAAATTGATATTGTTGCCAGAAGGACTTTCAACGCTAATCAAAGATCGCGGTGAACGAGATATAGTTTGTATAACTGGATGACCGTTTTTAGAAATAGTTCCATTTACCGCAGACATGAAAATTGTGGCATTGTTCATATTTGACCTAGATGAGAGTGGAATAAAGAGAACAGGAGCCAGGGCGCATCCAATTAGACTAATGAATACAAGAAATTGTTGAATGTGGTTGGAGGACAGAGAATGCTTCCTCACATAAGATAAACAACCTAAATGAAGTCGAAAAATTAACACATCAAAGTTTGCATATACCTTGAGCGACAGCAACAATGAAAGCCCCCTGGAACGCAAAAGCTGCTAGAAGCCACCAAAGGTGATGGGTAAAGGCAACGCTGAAGTTAACGATAATAAGTCCAAATAGACCATATCCAAAGAGAACGCCACAATGCTTATGTGTGTCTTCTAGAATAGCATACGAAGCCAACCAACCACCCATGGACCCGACAGCCCTTGAAGTGAAAATAAGAGCTACTTCGTCTTCCCATGTGTATGCAATTTCTTCAAGGAACATAACGGATGGTCCCGAAATTGAGACTGATAAGCCCTTATTAATGAAAATGTAATGGTCAAAACTTACAAGAACAAGAAATGTAATAATAAATGAAGTAAATGCATAGCCGGACAACTTTTGGGATTGATTATTTTCCAGCGATTTGAAATTGGACAATACGTTAAGCGTCATTTAAATGCACAATACGCATTAGCCGACTGTCTATAAAATCAGCGCTTTATACAACACATAATTTAGACGAAACAGTCAAACAAACTGAAGGTGTTCTAAAAGAATAACGAAAAATTACACCACACCATTTAAACATCTTTAAAAGCTTTAATAAATAAATAAATACCCACAAATTCGTGAAGTTCGACGTATTAATTTTGAATACTGACATACTAATTCGTTTATTACCAACCTTTTCTAATTGCCGAAGCAATTTTAATCGTTGCTGGTTTTAAATAAAGAATTTCTTGTTCTGAATCATCACTGGTGGAAACATATTTATAGTTTGAAACATTTGCGGGTATCTATTTGTTAACGTTATTTCAAAATTTATAGCATTTGTCTCAGTATTAAACTTCTGGTTAACTGACACATTACGTTAGATTTAAATTTTTAACCTAGATGGTACATTTGAGTTTTTCGTGTTTGAATTAAAAAATGCCATTTCTTTTCTTCTTTCTTTTCTCTGCATTGTCAAATTGTTACCCTGAGAACATTAAAGAACTTCATTTTACCTGAGCCCTTTCCAAAAATTCAAAAAATTTAATTGCCTTTCATGATTAACGTCCTGATAACATTCACAATTTGGACGTTTTAGAGTTGTATTAGTCATTCCTAATAATATCATTATAGACAACCTGTTTACGACAACCAAGGTGAAAATAGGCATCTTTAAATAATCAAAAGATAGTGAAGTTCTGCAAATTTATGGCGTTGTGCAAGTGATTGATAACTAAATTTGCTCATATTCCATTTACTTGTTTTCGAAATATTATTTTTTTACAATCGGATGTCGCATGAAATGTTTTTTTAATATATTTTTTAATAATTTAATCTAATTTTTGTTTTTTTCATTTTTTATGTTTTTTTACCAGAATTTATCGTTGTTCACGTGACATAGGTTCTTTTATTTCCTTGATTGCTTAAAGGCTAGGTCAGTGGTGCTGCTTTAGGTGGTTCATTGCAGATGATGGATTACTTAGCTCAATCAGCTAGTGCGGATGAATCTTCAGACGAAGAACTTTTAAAGCCAGCGCTGCCCGTAACGGAGCTTAATGATGATTGCCTTGATTATTCAAATCGGTATCTTGATCCAAATAACTACCTATTATATGTGAGGTAGTGTTTAATTTTGTTACATTTACGGAATTTACAAGAAATGAGGCTGCTAAATATCCGGTGACACTTACGGCACCAATGGATTCGGAGACAAGCCTAGGGGTTGAAGAGATTGTTGATGAAGATTATGAGGAAAGAAATGGTGACAACCAGGAGTCAATTTGTGAGAATACCGGTATAAAATCATTCCTCGGAGATTTTTCTAAGAGTTGGCTTCAATCCCAAGCAAAAAACTTCGCCTCTTCTCAAAAGGTAATAATTGTGACTTGAGCACTTGAATAAGTTTTTAGGAATTTCGTTTCGCTGTAGACGTTCTTCTATCTTCTAAAATGGTGCAGTCGACATCGGTGAATTTTCAGCGGTTTACTATACCTCTGCGTAAACCGAGGCACTAATTCAATCCTTGTTTTGTTCGTTTTAGGATGAATTCACTAAGGCTCTTTGTAGCAATAATTTTTTCGATTGGCTTTTGGATAATCCTGTAAAATTGTCCCATTTCATTGATCTGCGCCAGGTATTTTTTTGTTTTTTTTCCTAAAATTCTGATTTAATAGGATAAATTGGTTGATTTTCTTCATGAACTCCTAGCTGTTTGTTCACCTAATGATTGGAAAAGTGGTCTAGTGAGTGTTTTTATGTATTTCAGTACTATAACTCTTGTTTCGAGTACCTAATATTGCCCCCCCCCTATTTCATTTTTAGCAAACTTGGCTTTATGCTGCTTTATTGGCTCTCGAAAAACCTCTTCTTCCTAATACATGCTCCTTACTCAGAAACATCGCGGAACAATTCTGTGAACACTTGAGGGTAAATTTCAATTTTTGAAACTTATGTTTCTTTTTTTTAATAAGAATTTTGATTAAAGCTTTAACAATGGTTTCGAGTATCTTTAGAATATGATATTTTAATCCAATTGCACGCCTTTCTTATTTTGGTGCTGTGAAATAGAATTATTTAGCCTTATTTACATTATTTTAGTCTTGAGAAAACTCACGCGTTCATTTAGCCAGTCGATTTCCAAGACTCAAATTTGATGGAGGAATAATTATTTGAAGCCACCCTTTTTTGAAAGTCAAAGCCTATTGCCCCATTGATTAGCCAGATCATTAGTGTTGCTGGCCATTCTGCCCACTGCGCGTGTTTCGGTTGTCATTGAACCCGCGACCTTCGAATTGGCAAATGTGCAATGAATGCGGCAAAATGAGTCTGTCATCTCTCTTGATTAATTCATCTTAACTGTACATTATGTAGAAAGATGGAAATTTATACGAAGTTAGTTCCAAAAGTTCTCGGACCAATGCAATAACTAAATAGAACAAAGAATTACATGTTCAAGCATGCCTTTAGAGCTTCCTTAATAGGTTACAAGTGATCGATAATTCTAGTCAAGATCAAGGGAAGTTGGATCTCAAAATAGCTTGCAGTTTCCAACCCTTCAAATACAAAGTTTGGGATCAGAGCTAACATGCCATTTCTAACTAAACTAAATTGGAAACCTGTTCAGCTCAAAAATAGCTTTACAACAGGCTTATGGGTATTTTGTGAACAGTCATTAATGATTGGACCGAAAGGGTCGATTGCAACTTAATGTCGACCCACCGCAGCAAGACATCTCTCTTGTTTCTAGTGGAGTAAGATGGACGAGTTATCATTAAGGGAATTGCCAAAGAAGTAGGAATGGCACACGGTTCAACATTTTCAATTCTCCGAAAATCATAGCTTGAGTAACCCCTCGGTGGGCTTTTATCCTTTAAATATTCATTTGCATCATTATTTTTCGTGATTTTGCAGGTCAAGGAATATACAGAGGGCATCGAATCCAAAGAAAAGCGTTTCTGCTACGTTATACTGAGCATTATCGGTATCGCATTTGGTCAAAGAGATATAATTGAAAATATTTAGATATTTACATCTACTACTTGCTTGTAAATAGTACCTTGTTTTTTACTCTTTTCGGAGCTTTACGGTCAACGTTGAAACTGAATAAAATGTTGAATAAACACCAACTTATTTTTTCTTTAATTGAGATATCCTTTTTATTGGAAGGTAATCATTGTGGCTAACATCATGTGGTGGTGGAGTGCGTACTTGGTAATGGCTTTGTAGTTATTGAAGCTGGCATAAGTTCAACTTAGTTGTAGTAGAAATGCGGTTGAAAATATCTGAGATATGAGTGATGAGCTATCTCTACCTACTGATCTTTACGTTGATATTTGGCTTAGTGGTTATAACGTATATCCCTCAATTCTCTTTTCCACTAAACTTCTTGGATTTAAGGATTATCCCTTCTCTCCTCTTAATTTACTCCTGATGAATCCTATTGCATCTTTTAACAATTGTCGACTGTATTAAACTCCCTCTGTAAACCTCTACCATTTGCATCTTACCATCCACGTGCACAGCTCTCTTTTGGGATTCTTTTATGCACCCAGTGAATTTTTCTCTCTCCATCTTGGTGCGTGTGGAAAATCGAAATTAGTTAGAATGATAATAGCACATAGTCTTATAGATGATCAAGAATCACACTTTCCATGAGACCTTGAAGAGGCTAGTATTTAAGCTAAACTGCTCATCCAATTGTTGTTCTCGAAATTACCTAAGCTAGCTCGATAGTGTTGTGGAGATGAAAGCGTAAAGTTAAGAGCGTTTTTACATCTTATGGGCCACTTACACAAAGCTTTGTCATTAAAATGCGATTATTGATTGTTTGTTGGCTGAGAGGTAACAACACTCACAGCCGCACTTGCTCGCTACGCAATCTGTCATATGACCGCATCTTCCAGACTGTTCGAGATCACATAAGAACCCTATATATATGCAGTTTGATAAGGGAGATCTTGAATAAGGTATACTAGCTTTTGACTAAACGATAATTTGCCATATTTTACGCATTTAGATGGCATTAAATTATTGGAACTTTGAAACTGTTTTGCATTTCAATTAGACATAGATTAGAAGTGGACTGTCATATGTGTAAAGAATACAAAATAAAACACATTTAACAGTAAAAAGCCATTATGACATTACAATTTTTGAGATGTTAATAGTGCATACCTTTATAGCAATTCCAGCGGCATTTAAAGGTGAATAGTAATACAACGTTTGGCATTTTTCAATGGCTTGGAGCAAATAATGCTGCCTAACATGGAATCCGACAAACAGTAGGGGGTGGGGGGGGGGGGGGGGGGGGGGGGGTAGGGTAGGAGGAGAAGGGATAAAAAAACCACACTTAATTTGAATTTCGCACCAGGTTTTATGATGTTTACGAAGTGGACAATTCATATTCCAAGTTTCATGATTAGGTCTTTGCCAAAGCGGTGGTTCTTGAACGCCTTTTCGTATCGCGAGAGGTAAGCCTTGGCACTTTCGACGACAGAGAAAGCGAAACGATGTTACCTGATATGCAGGAATTTAAAACCGGAACATATCAGAGACGAAATTGATTTAAATTTGAAGTAACATTAGCTTCGTATTTGGTCTCTCAAGTTATTATTACTGGAAGCTTATGCTTTGAGTGCCCTAATATGAATTATTAAATTTTGGCGTGACATGATCTTAGCAACAATTACCTCCTCTAGATCGTGCAAGTACAATTAACTTTCTTTTATACCTTTCGTAAGAATTACTCAAAAGTACAATGTTAGAGATTTTGACAGGCTGAAATAAAGGAAATCGATAGTTTTTCTTAAATTTGAAGGAAATATAACCCAAAATAGCTTAACAGAACAATGAATTCTATATTCAAATTTTGAAAAAAATAATACATGTAAATAAATATAACTTTATTGCTATTTAAAATATGGTAGAATGAAAACAATGAAGACTTCATTTTTAATTCTCTCTGACAAATTGAAGTTTCATAATTACATATAATTTTGCTATTTTTTGTGAGAACGTGTTTGAAATACGGATATTTTTTGTTCTCCAGTTATTATAGCACAATAATTAAGCCAAAAAGTTGGCTAAACTGATTGTAACAGATTCGACACGGATCACTGTACATCCAGTTAAAGGGACAACCAACCACTCTGATCAAAATCTCTGAAATGGGTCAAAATTATGAGTTCACATAAAATAACTTAAGCTCTGTACGGGAACGGGTGTTTAAAAAATTCATTTTTTATTGAGGTTGGATAATTAAATCAACTTATTAGAACGAAATGTTTTACTGGTTGTTCGCTGACTAATCAAGCTTTTGAGGCTATGTAACGTTCTCATTTCCAAGTTATCTGATCTAATTGACTGTTATCATAGTTTTTCCCAATGATCTACGTCGTTTGGTGCCTAACTCGATTTCGTGTTAATAAATTAAATTTCTGTTTAATGAAATTATCTTTGTCCTGATATTTATACAATACAAGTGACGAAATAAAAATTTCTGCATTTATCAATTCTATCCCAATCAAAAGTTCTATCTATCTTTAATCTTGCACTAGTAAAACCTAGAAGCCACAACAGGTCACATTCCTCAACTTTGTGTACTTTAGGCGCTGAATATTTGATGGCAATAAAAGACACGGAGACATGAAATCAAAATGGTACGAGATGACTTGCTCATAAATAGGCAAATTTCGTTTACGTAAGCGGAAATGGGAAATACGACATTTATTTATATCAAATGGCTGGCTTTATGATAGTTACCATGGGGTATGCGATGGACTTACCTCCAAGTGGTGCACCCTGGTCTATTAACTGGCAGTTGACTTCTGACTTCAGTCTACCTTGACCCCACTTCCACAGTACTCATCTTTCCTTTTCTCTGCCTTTGTATCCGCCTGTCTGTCTCTCTTACACCTGCGAATCACTTGCCTCCCCCCCCCCCCTCCTTGTGAAGCCTGAAGTCAACTAAAGGGCTAATGATAACTATCAAAATGTCTGCCATTCGATATAAATAAATGATAGATATCATTAGCCCTTTAGATGAATTCAGGCTTCAGAGAGGGGAGGAGCAGACAAAGTAGCAAAAAGTCAAGAGGAGAAATAGGGGAGTAATCGACAAATGTAAAAAAGACAGACACTGAGGTGGAGAAAAGGGTGAGGTGAGTACTGTGAAGTTAGTGGAATATGACATACAATGGGATCATGGTAGTTTAAAGTCAGAAGTCAACTGTCGGTTTATAGATTTATTTGCCATGAAATACAGCGTAGAAACCTTCACCTGGAATTGTCAAAGTTGGTGGAGCATTGGAGGTATGATAGATTGAAGTGGAATCTACGACAAACCTCCAGAATGCAAATGTATAGAACAAAAAATGAAATAGTTTAGCAAACGATTTAAAAGATATTCTCTTTTGATTGTTACGCCACTATGCGTCTGTCGTCAGTCTTGTCTCTAATAATACACCAAAAATGATAGGCTTCGAAAACTGGCAATGTAGTGGTTTTCAATTATTTTTTGCGGCGAAATAAAATAAAAGTTAGGGGAAATATTTTCTTGGAATAGCCTAAAAATTTTGAAAAGATCTGTATTTGTTGCAAAAAAGTTAACCCTACGTGTCTAATGCCACAAAAGGCGAGATTTAAAACTTGTTCAGCTTTGTACTAGCAAGAAAGTAATAATATAAAATTAAATTTGATAGTGGAATCCCCTTTGAAATTATAGGGAGCAAATAGGGCTTATGGAATTTCCACTCCCAGAATTCTCTCTCGACGCGACATCAAGTCACCACATTGTTGAGTAGGAATGAACTTCCGTCAGTTTTGTTTTTTTCAGTTACAACTGTTTCGTACGTCCCACGTGCCACAGAGATGATCAACCAAGCTGTTTGATCAGCGACTGCCAAGTGAAAACACCTGATTTATATATATATACGCCTCAGAGAACGTTACCATCAATAATATTTCACAAAAATTATTTACTGAATTTAAAATACCAATTAACCTGGCATATGATAAAGAGCACACTAGGAGATTATTAATTCACTTTGAAACATTGCAAACATTGAAAGCCAGGCTTATTTAATGGTAATGGAGTTTCCGTTGTTAGGAGAAGGAGAGAATTGAGGGAATTCTGTGCCCAAAAAGAGTATCACAAACAGATGGGGGTGATTCCGATGATCATCGATGGGGTAAAAGTGAATCCTAGCAGCTCTTTTCAAACCAGTACATAATGTGCTCACCCCGTAAATTAAAGTAGATTACTAGAGACACAAACTGGCTCTTGAAGTTCCATAGGTGTCTAACACTTCAAACACCAATGTGAGGTAGTGGCAATTAGGTTCCAGAGATTAGTGGTATTTCAGCTAAGAATTCTGGATAGCATCGGGATTCATCCTTCAATGGTAACATTAGTAGTAGATGTGGCTCTTTCTGAACAGATGGCTAACTATCCGCCAAAACCTTAAGGGGTTTCAAGAACATGGAAAATACAATGCCAACTTCTTGGGGGAAAAATACAACTATGAATGATTAATTTCCATGTTTTGTTTTAACTTGACTCTCTGAATTCAAATTATCCTGCTGAGAATCCTGCAACCTAATGTTGCAACGCTAAGTTTCTATATTTGCTATAGATGGGGTGCGCGAAAGACTTACCTCCACGTGGGGCAGTCTGGACAACGTATATTTATAGAGCAAAAAGTCTATAAACTGTCAGTTGACTTCTGACTTCAAACTATCATGACCCCACTGTACACTTCCACAATACTCACCTCACCTTTTTCTACCTTTGTGTCTGTCTCTTTAACATCTTTTGAAACACTCTTCTGTTTCCCCCCCCCATCTCGAATTTTTTTCACTTTGATGTTCCTCCTCCTCTATGTGAAGCCTGAAGTCAACTAAAGGGCTAATGATAACTATCAAAGTGTCTGCCATTTGATATAAGCAAATATTCAATACAATATGATAGAAAAAGAATGCAATCCGAATTCATTCTCTATTCCATTCTCTATATTTACTTCCTGCTCCCCTACCCACTGTTTTTGCTATTTGACTTCAATTTTCTTTGAGTTGAAAAAAATATTCCTTGTGGCTAGGGCATGCCTAGTGTTTCCGATTTGAAATGTAGCGCAGTGAAGCTTGAGGATTTAGAGTTAACATAGTGTCAGGGATGGGATTAGGAGGAGGAGGAGGAGGAGGAAGAGGAGAGGGATCAACCGAGAGGGATTATGTCTGGTCTTGACCTCGTCGCCCACGTTTTGGGCGCGTTTTGCATTTCCGCTTAAAAATCAATCAGATTCTTGTCTTCGACATTTGACTCCCTCCCCCCCCCCTCTTCCCCTCTTCCCCTCCACTCGAAACCAATTTTAGCATTTGAATAAACGTAAGTTTAATTTTGCATCAGCTTTAGGTCTGGAGTTAAACGAAAATTGCTGACGATAGAATATTAGAAGGAATTATGCGTATATATATTTTTCTTTCTATAATGATAATCTCTGCACAAATGCATCTCGCCGCGTAAACGGCACAGTAGTGAGTTTTTTATTTAAAATATTTTACAGCCTGTTCCTCAACCCTGATGGTTAATTTTGTTCACCGAAAATTCGCTGGTTCGTAACTGTGTCATTTATTTATTTATTTATTCATTCATTCATTCATCACAATGTGTAACCAAAAATCCCAAAGACAAATATCAATTCAATGATATTATGAATTTATCGTCAAGGCAGGAATCCGATAGATCACTAGACGCAGTCGTTTGAAACAGATCTGAAGTTCAGTTCCTTAAAATTTTCAATCATCAGAGAAACGAAATCAGTCCTACTCTTAGTCAATGTTGAAATAATAATTAATTAAGTAATTTCGATGGTATTCGCCTTAGGGCGGGTAGAGCATGCTTGTAGCTTTTTGGCACCTTTCTCTTAACATATATTTTATTTATTTATATCAAATGACAGGCGTTATGATGGCTATCATTAGCCCTTTAGATGACTTCAGGCTTCACATAGGGGAAAGAACATCAAAGTGAAAAAAAGTCGAGAAGGGGGGAGGAAACAGAAGACGAAGGTAGAAAAGGTAAAAAAAGGTGAAGTGAGTACTGTTGAAGATGTCGAATATGACATACAGTGGGGTGATGGTAGCTTGAAGTCATAAGTCAACTACCAGTTTATAGACTTTTTGCCGTATGAATATACGTTGCCTAGGGTGGACCACTTGGAGGTAAGTCTATCTCACACCTCTCTCTTAGCATATATCAAACTAGTTATTAGATCATGGATCATGGTGAAACTCACTGATCTATGCAACAAGGTTGTCATGTCACAATTTGGCATGGCATTTTCCAAATGCTAAATGCATTATTAACCGCTAGCTAAATGCAAAAACCTTTCCTGTTGTTAAATCATGATTTATCTACGTTTCAATTGTCACATGCTATCCATGATATTTTTCCACTTCATCATAGTTTTAAACAAAAAGGTCTCGTTTTCAAAACCACGTCGCCAAATGGCTTGATTCCCGCCGCCAGCCCCCCCCCCCACCCCAATGTCTCCAAAATATGAATAGA